GTGTTTGAGGCCCTAGAAGAGTTAGAGACTGAGTGGTCATGGCAGGACCCCAAAGACTCTTGGACGATGATCAGTAGAGGTTCAAGGAGTGAACATTTCATGGTATAGGTTGATGTAGGTGGCCGCAAAGTTGGCGCCTTCGCAAACATAGGTTCTACACGAAACTTCACCAATCGTCCTTATGTGGATAGACTACGCTTAGGGGACCAAGTTTTTGGTGGCCCTCTATGATGCAAGAAGCAAAGATATATATTGAATCTGTCAGGTTTGCCAAAGGGACAAATCTAGGACTCAGGCTCCGCTTGAGTTGATTAAGCCCTTACCGATTCCTGAAGGGCCGGGTCGGAGTGTGTCCATGGACTTCATGGATACTCTTGTGACCAGCCGGTCTGAAAAAAAACACATCTTTATTATAGTGAATCTCTTTTCTAAGTATGTCAGACTAATCGTCATGCTAGAAAATGCTAAAACTGACAATGTCATCAAACTCTTTATGGACAATTGGGTACATGACTTAGGTTTGCTTGCATCTATTGTTAGTGGCAGAGATGTAAGATTCACCAGTGACCTGTGGCAATCAACCGCTGAAAAGATGGGCACAAAGCTCCAAATGACATCGGGGAATCACCCTGAGTCAAATGGCCAAGCAAAACAGATGAATAGAGTAGCACAACACCTGCTTAGACATTATATCAACAAAAAAATTCCAATGAGAAATAAGAGTTGAAAAAACATTCCATAAAAAAAAAATCATTCATATTTATTAATTATCATTCGAATGTTCGTCTATTCTAAAATTTACATTTTTATTTGATAATTTACCATCTTAATATGAGTTTTTCCTTTCAACTACGTCTATTTGTTCAAGATGGAATGAAATTCTGAACGAGTTTATGAAATGTTTTCATTAAACTTTCATTCTACTACAACAAATATCTTCTAATTTAGATTGGATTCACCTATTTATGACTGAAAATCCTTACTTAGTATAACAGTCCAATTAAAATATTTCATGAACTCATCCAGGCTTTCATTCCATCTCTACCATCCAGTTCAAGTAAGAAGGGATACCCCGTTCTTGGAAGGAAAGTTTTCAAGTAAGAGGGAAAATTTAAAAATTGGAATGAGATTTTTTAAGATGGAATGAAAATTTGAAATTTAGAATGTAATTTTACTAAAGAATGATTATTTAATTCTGAAAAAAAATTATGTTGATCAATCCAAGTCTGGATAACTGGGACGAGAAACTACCTCTTGTCGCCAGCTTGTATAACAACGCTGTGCACAGTACTACAAGAAAGCCTCCCAACCAACTGCATCTCTGTTGGAAACCCAAAACTGCACTTGACTTTCTGCTACCAGAAAGAGAACCCACTGTTGCACCTGGCAGCATAGAGTTTGTTGTCAAATATGAACAGATGTTGCACCAAGCCGTTGAACATATCAAGAAGTCTCAGGACGCAATGATCATATCTGAGAATAAACACAGACAACCCTCTAGCTTTCATGTAGGTGATAGTGTCTGGGTTAAGTCATCTGAACTAGGTCAGCAGTTAGGAATTTCACGTAAACTAATGCCCAATATTTTCGGCCCTGGGAAATCTTGGACTTTGTAGGGGATCAACCGGATGGGCCTTCATACGTGATTCACATTCATGCACACTTACGTACTTACCCTGTGTTTCATGCCTCCAAGTTGGCACATTTTGCTGCCACTCATCAGTTTCCCTCAAGAAGATCAATGTTGCCCCCAACCATGGATGGCGAAGCGGATATTGACGAGATCGTGGACATCAAGTGATGCCAGTTCCTCGATCATCAGGCAGAGGCCGCCCTTCTAAACCAAGAATGCAGTATCCTGTTAATTTAAACAGCATTTGGATCCTAAAGAAGATTGCTAGTTCACACGAGAGGAACTCATGAGAACAGCACCTCAACTGATTGCAGGCTACGAAAGAGAACTCAAAGGGAAGATGCCTGCAGAGTGACAAACTTCTCAGAGGACTAACCAAGTAAAGGAGGAGGGAGTCCAAGGATCTGAGTCATCCGCAGGCCTGAGGGGCCCCTGTTGCAAGAGTGGCCGCCCTAAGTGAAGGCAGGCCTAACATAATACAAGAGCCCCTCGGCTGTCAAATTAATATTTGGGGGTCCAGGCAGTTGCGACGCGTCAGTTGGTTGAGAGGAACCCAGGCCGAGCAACAAAGACATTTCCACAGCCTTCTGGGCTTTTCCAAAGAATGCAGGCCCTGGGCGAGAATCGCAGCATCATACACTGACAGTTGGAAGGCCCAACYGAAAGARGCCCAGTAGCTGCACACAAGCGCAGCATCCTGGGSCCTACCGGAAGCTTCTGGGCCCAGGCCCAGCCCAGCCAGGCTGTGCGAGCAGGCCAGCTCTTTCCGTATAGGAAAGAGCTCTATCCAGCCAGCCTGATTCAGGCACTGGCATGCTAGCSGCAGCGCKGCTGKAGYAAAGGCTCATGGGCTGCTACTKGAGCTGAGAAGCAAGGTGCAGCACGTGCGATCGTGCAGAGAAGAAGGGCGCTGCTGAGGGCAGTGCCATAGCCCATCCACCATAGCTGGTGGGCTTGGATTACAGCGAGGCACAGGGGTGGTCTTCGGGTGTACAACAAAGGGAGACGTGGGAGAGAGTCAAGGGGGAGAGAGAAGAATGATGATGATGATGATGATGTGAGGGCACATACCTGGTATTGGCGATCGTTCCGCATGCGCGACATCAAGTACTTTGGGTGCTGCCGACGTCAACAGTTGAATTGTCAATTAGTAGGCCAGTAGTAGCTCTGTAGGGAATAGGCTGGGCGCCGAGCGCCAGGTAGGGTCCGTAGGGAAATAGAGACTGGATACATATGTTGGTGGTGGCGAGAGCAAGCTCTCATTGACATTGACTTTCAGTGCTACGATTCTCCATAGGTGTTATATTGGTGCAATGCTGCTTCCTGAACACTGTGTTACAATTTGGCTTTCAATGTGATTGTGCAATCTGAATATTGTCATCCGGATTCTGTTCATTTTCCTTGCATTAGCATCATAAACACAAATAAAAAAAGAACAGCAATAGCTCCTACATAAACAACTAAAGTGTTTTCAGAGGTGGCCGTTAATGGTCCAAGTAGASGTACCAGTGGGGACGGATTCAGCATATAGGTGCGTCCGTACGACTTTTTTGTTTTTTTGTTTTTYTTGTGTGGTCCGATGGACCACGGATCAGATATTAAACTGATCAGAACAGAMACTACACTTGATCTTAGCCAAAAGGCCGAAAAAGCTTCGTACGATTTTTTCGCTGTCCACCGATCACCAAGATCGTGACCCAAGGTGAGTGGTTTTGGATGAATGCTGAACCCTTCAGATTGCTGATGTCCGTCTGAAGTGCCGCGGCGGATTTTTCTGTGTTTTTCAGGATTTCGGGTCAGGTATCCGATATTTTTCGTGTGTCTTCACATATACATCTTTCACTTAGTTTTCACTATTTTGGGCACCTGGTCGGCTTCGCTAGTAGCACRAACCAGACAGTCGKGCGCCTACAGATTCACCTGCTGCACGGCGCAGGAAGGATCAGAAGTCCGGGTCGGGTAAGGTAGCCGATACTGAGATTATGATCTATCATTCGAAGGGCGAAGGAGATAAGAACGCGAACGCTGGTCGGAGAAAGCGAGCAATCTTACCTCCAGAACCACGCATGGAAGGAAGCGAGAGCATCTAGACACGGTCGCCGTAAGACATGAGCAGGTTTTTATGCATCTAGACATGAGCAGGTTTTTATGGGTATACGGGAGAAGGGTGAGGGAAGGTAAAAGGAGTAGGCACCGGGAGGATGATCGCAGTTGGCAACAATTTGTATTTTTTTGTTTTTTACTTTTTTCGGTTGGGAGATGACCGTCCTGTCACTAAGATTGGGTTGATAGGTGTGCCTCCTCAAGAGACCCGGTATGCGCCCGGGTCGAAACGCGTCGAGGAATGCGCATGGCACGGTGTTTGGAGGTTGTGTGAGGTAATTTGCACTTAAGTTCTCTGTCCTCTCTCCGTGTAAGCGTGTAGTGTGGCCTCTGTTCTATGTTCAATCTCTCTCTCTCTCTCTCTCTCTCTCTCTCTCTCTCTCTCTCTCTCTCTCTCTCTCTCTCTCTCTGTGTGTATACACATTCAATGTACATATATATAGACAAAGATAGGGTTCAGCCTCCTGATGAGTCGGTGAAACTCCGACGAAACAGTTTGTCACAGCCCCTCGTTTGTTGTCCTCTTCTCTCTCTCTGCCTACGGTTTACCGGGCAGTTCTGTCTGTGACGATATATATATAGATCGTCACATGAATATAAGAGCGCAAAGGCGAAAAAAAAACAGAAGAAAACAAGAAAATGCAAGAGAGAGAGAGAGAGAGAGAGAGAGAGAGAGAGAGAGAGACAGACAGACAGAGAGGCGAAAAAGGTATAACAAAAGCGAATCCAGACGACAACGGGGGTCCCAGTACATCTCAAGTCAAAAGCAATGGACGTTATTATCCGCGTTCGCAATGGTTGTGCAAAAACAACAACACCTGAATAGCTGCGCTCTCGCAAAGAATGAATCTATAAATACGTCACAATCGCAAGGAATCAATCTATAAACAAGTCACAATCGCAAAGAATCAATCTATCAATAAGTCACAATCGCAAAGAATCAATCTATCAATAAGTGACAATCGCAAAGAATCAATCTACCACAAGTCACAATCGCCAATTAATCAGTTACCAATCCTTCAATGCTCGCAACATCGCCGGCTTTACAATCACCTCTGCAAAGTGAGAGACCCAACGGATACCGACCGAGTCACCCAAGAGGCTGCACTGACTTACAGCACCAACCCACAAACGCCATGCTCTCTAGCTGGGAGCATAGGCGCGCGCGCGCGCGCGCGCGAGAGAGAGAGAGAGAGAGAGAGAGAGAGAGAGAGAGAGAGCACTTTACTAACAATATAACCTGAATCGTCGGAGAATTCGACCTTCGTTCTCCCACTCGACCACTCAATGCTTTTGATCGCCTAGCAGATTGCACATAATCTGCTTTAATCGCCTATAACGGAGATCGACTACACTGGCCGAGCGTCATTACCACCGCTTTCTTGGAAAACACGAGAGCCGTRATTCCCATYATTAGACGAAACGGTCCAGGTTTTGAATCGGGAAAACCAATAGGGAGAAGCAGAGAATAGAAAGGGAAGGTCGGASATGAGAGCCAAAGCATGGYGATGCCCCGGGWACCTACATGAAGAGCCTGAGTCKCTTTGGGTTCTGTGGAGGTGGCGGCGCGTTCGTGGGCATGGTGCCGGACTGCTTCGTGCCGAGATCGCGGAGCCCGGGGATTCCGGTTTTCCCGAGCCACTTCTTGCCATCAATGAAGTTGGTGGAGAGGAACGGCTGCACCTGCTTGTCAGTGAGGCCGAAGGACCATCTGGCGCGCTGACCCCTGCGAGCTCCAGGGCCAGAGCACCTGTACTCGGCGTAGAAGATGGTCTCCTGCCTGGTCGGGTCGAACCAGTCGTTCCAGCCCACGGGGAGAATCACGTTGTCCATGTACGTGTAAGCGAAGATGGTGCGGGCGGCACGGCCCCAAGCACGGCCCAAGTAGACCTGCCCGGTCCCCTGCACCTTGCACCGGATGAAAACGAAGCCGGTGGGCTCCTTGGTCGAATCCCTCTTCTGAGCGGTGAGGGCGCCGCCCGTCTTCGTCACGTCGGCGAACAGCAGCGAGTCCAGGAACATCGACCTGCCGTTGCCGAAGATGAAGTCCACGCTGCCGCGCACGTACACGTTCTTGAACAGATGCCTCCCACGGTGGCAGTACAGCGTGTCCTGGTAGCCGTAGAAGCGCACGTTGTGAAAGGCGGCGAAATCACCCGTGATCCGGAAAGCCACCGCCTGTTCCGTGAACGAGTTGGGTCGCGGCCGCGAGGCATGGTTCTGGAAGGTAATGTCCTCTGCAGTGAAGTAGTCCGCGTTCACTCCCACAGACGCCGACAGAAACGTGCCCATCGGCTTCTTGGTCGTCTTCAGCAAGGTCGACGCCCGGTCGCCCCAGCTGATCACCGTCCGGTATGGACCTGAACCCCGCAGCGTGATGAACGGCTTGTTCGAAGGAACGGTTACCTTCTCCGTGTACCGCCCGGGCTTGATGAAGATCACGAACCTCTTCGTGCTCTTCACTGGGGCAGCATTGATGGCCGCCTGCACCGTACGGAAGTTCCCGCTCCCGTCCTGGGCCACAACCACGTCTCCCTTCCGACCTGATGAGCGATCGTTGCCGTTGGCGTCCTGGAATCCGACAGCCACATGGGGAAGAGGTTGCGCACCGACCTTCTCAGTGGCCTTAAGCGTGCCAGTGTTCGGCGTCACCAGGTCAGCTTCACCACCTTTGCCGCTGCAGACACCCGCGGCGAACGGGAGCCCACCACAGGCGGGATCTACAGTGGCTGACGCCACAGCTGCAATGGACAGCAGCGCTAGCATCGCACCCGCCAGCCAACCCCGACCGGTCGGAGCCATGGCGATCTGCCACACAACCTACGACGCCGGTTGCCACCCCTCCACCACCACGTGCTCGATGTTCTCCTCTTTTTCTTCTCCCGGCGAGTATGGAGTACCTCCTAAGCGTACCGACTCGCTGCGCCCTCTCTGAAGCGGAGCTAATTCGCTCCTCGAAACACTTGAACCGAGAATGAGCATGCCGAAGCTTCTCTCGCACCTCGCTTTTGAATTGCCCGTCTCCGTGGGCAGCCGTCCAACAACCAAGGACGCTCTGATCGCCCCTACCAGTGAGAGTCGCCCTCGTTGGGGATTTCGGGCATCGCCACACCACTCTCGGAATGTGCAAAATGAGAATGAACGTCCCGCTTCAACATGGCCAGATGCGCACGCCACATTTTTGTCGTTTTCACATTTCGAGAGTGGTGTGGCGAGGCCCTTCGCAGTGTGGCTGGGCGGGCAAGCTTCACGCCACAGGAGGCATGCTCAGGTGGCAGCTCTGCGGGATCACTGGAAAGCGCGGCGTCGACTGCCGGGGAAGATTCCAGCAGCTCCTGTGATCGCGGCTTGTCGTTTAGCACCCGTGGAAAGGAAAGCTCGAGCGCGCGGAAAAGAAGGGGCTCTCAAAAAAAAAAAAAAAAAAAAAAA